CTCCGCAATCAACAGCTGCTTGTCAATATGTAATAAATTTTAGTAAAATCCAACTAGTGGTCTATTAACAATGCTGCGTTCTGGTTGGTTGAGCTACTACTAGGCTATATGTTACAGCCCACTAGTAGCGAAAAGCGCAGGCTTTGAAAACAAAAACAGTGGCGGCTGAATCGCATTTTGCCGGCTTAAGTTGTTTTGTCTCGATATTTTCGACCAACTAGTTGGATTCTCAAAGACAATTATTCCTCTCGCCCTCGTGGCCGCTGAGTCAATAGCCCATTCGGCCTTCGGCCTCATGGACTCATTGACTCAGAGCCCATTCGGGTTCGAGAAATAATTGTTAAGTATTCCAATTGGCTAAAAATATTCATGTTCAATTTCCTTCAGAAGCTATCAACAGTATCAAAACTGTCTTGTGACAGAGCCTAAACTCATACTCAGATCCCCCCGCACTGTTCAGCGTAAGATAGAGTTCCGGGTAGTGAGATAAGACGTTACTTACTGGGTTCACAGGGAATCACAACTCAGTTGTCCCCAGTCTCCTTGCGTCGCTTGGCAGCCTGATCACCGACCTCTGCTGCCTTTCTTTTTGACTCCTCTGCTGATGATGTGGCTGTTAAAAAGCAACAAACTTTTTAACTAATAATTACCTGAAAATAAATACAAGTAATAATAATAATATAATATAAATGATAATAATTTCTTAAGATATTACCAGTATTTTCAAGCCTTTTCCATTCTTTTCTTTTTGAGAAAAGTAAGACGAAACTCACATCCCACCCTTTGAAACAAAATTAAATTTGAAGATTTCCTCTGACTGACTTCCTCTTGGCAACTCCAGGAGGAATAGATTGAACAGAAGGTTTTGTTTACATTTTCATTTGAGAAAAGGGTAACCCAACAAAAACTCTACCCAGGAGTGCGTCTTTAGCAAGGTTTATTGGCCGCACCGCAGATATAAGCTATTGAAGAGCTTCCAACATTGAACGGGGGCGCCGGTTACGATCTCCCCGCGATCTACCGGTACGATTTGTCACGTGATTTACAGTTAAATCACGTGACAAGACGTCGAATTTCATAACTTGATAAAGACTCCGAGATGGAGTCGAGAACTTATGTGTGTTAAAAGGTTTTATCCTGGAGTCTAAAACTTATCGTTAGCTCTCCCGATTCTTTTATCTTCTCTGACTGAAAAGAATTGTGACCTCAACTGGACCACACCTCTAGCAAAAGACCTCTAATAGTTCATTGTTACTACTTACTTACCACCGTAATGATCCAAGTTCTTGAAAGCATTGGGATCACTGAGGATGTGAGCAGTTACAGAAGCTGCCATAACACTTGCGAATGGTCTCCAGGCATTTGTGGCAGACTTCTTGCCATCTGCGAAGTCGGAAACTCCTTTAATTACAACCCATTCCATCTTCAGGTCCCGCGCCGCTTTGAAGAGACCTTAAAAGAAAGTTATACTTCCTTAAGAACAAAAAGACCTACAGCAATAACTTATAGGGAATCCTAAGAATCGTATAAAGTGTTTTCAGATGACGTCACGGCGGCCATATTGGTGTCCCAAAACAAAGAAACGGCGGCCATGTTGGTGTCCCAAACCAGACCTCTGGGAGTTGAACTCTTTTCTTATGCAAACGATTTCTTTTGTTCCAATAAATTTGCATAGATGCTGGCCACGTGAGTGAAAACACTCTATTCATCAGTAAACTCAATTACACAAGGCAAAATTACAAAAGGATGTTTTAAACTCTAACGAAATGTTAATTTGCCATTAAACACTTTTGGCTCTAGCGACAGGGTGCTGTTTAAAAGTTCACGTGCTTGTTTGGTAAAATTTGAAGCGCCTACTAACTTGGTTTCTCATGGAGGCAAATAAAAAAGAGAGAAAAATAATGAATAAACAATCAAGAAAATAAAAGTTAACTACTTTGACTGAACTAGCTGCTCGTGCTTTCAAAATCATTTTTTGGAATCCCAAAAAGTATTTTCTGACCTTCATGAATTCTTGCCTTTTCCTACTTTTCTAAAACTAATTATAATTGCTTAGCTTTGGCATGTGGCCCATATCTCGGAGGTGGAGTATAAAATTGAATAAATACTGATGCATTTTCTTTCATCAAAAGGACAGTTTCTCTACGAGATTCCCACCATACTAGGCTTTGCATTGACGGTGACCGCTACTCACTCTTTCAGCTACAGATGAAATCTCACCTTGGCCCTCCATTTCTATAGCAGTGGCATCAGGGAATCGCCTGATAAGTTCTGCACGTCGATCTTTATTGTCAACCACCTCTGGACCGCTCAGAAGCACGCCATTTGTGATTACATCCACCTCTACCTCATCTTTCAACGGTGGTTTCCAGCCGGAATCCGCGTCTAACAGGAGTTTTGAAAGATGAGTGTTCAACGGAACAGCAACGTTCCGATCTTCAACGGCACTTTCGGTTATTTTGACAGAGGAGTACGTCCTCAACTTAGAAGAAATTACCACATCTCCTAATTTGAGATTTGCCTTTAAACCACCGCAAAATCCCACACAAAATACAGCTTTGGGGCTCAAGGCTACCGTGGCATTTTTCACAACAACGATAGCGTCATCAGAACCCATTTCACAACTTTGTATGGCAATTTTCATTGTATTCCCCTCTTCACCAATTTTCCCAAAATATACATATCCAAGATTTTCGTGATAACTTTTATAGAATCCTGGATTCAAATAAGAAACACAACTCAAAAATTCGCACTCCTTCACCGTCAACAACATAACATCGACTGGGAGTTCAACTCTGTCCCAAGGTATGCTGTCTTTGTGTGGGGGAAGATCCCTTTTCTTTAGCAGTTTCCCGGCGGGCAGCTTAGTGTAAACGATCTCAGGTGGCTTGTTGTTGTTGCTGCTGCCAGAGTCGACAGTTGATGCCCCGGAGGTTTGTGTGTCTGACATTTCTAAATGATAAATAAAATAACAAACAAACATATAGCTCAAGCGGAAAACAGCCTACATTTCGCGACGCCACCACTGGTTTCCCCGCGAAATGACGTCTGAGAAACGAGCACAGAAATTCCATACTGATGACGTGTCACTACCCAGATCTGGATAGTGCTTCTGATTGGTTGAAAATTTGCCTCAACCAATCAGAAGCTCTACCCCGATCTGGGTAGTGACGCGTAATCAGTATGGAATTTTTGTACTCGTTTCTCAGACGTCATTTCGCCAAGAAACCGGTGGTGGCGTCGCGAACTTAGGCTATATATTTATTTGTTTATACTACTACATGAAAAATTTCTGCAATTTGATTGGCTTAGAGCAGTGGTATTAGTACCTACATGTGAAAATTACAAACCTTTTGTGGGTAGTAGTATAAACAAATAATAGCTGATTTGTACGTGATATTTGGCAAAAATACCACTCGTGACATTTCAAAATTGTCTCAAATTTCACTCGCCTAACGGCTCGTGAAATGACGTATAACAATTTTGAAATATAACTCGTGGTATTTATGCCAAATATCACTACAAATCATGCTATTACCTATACTAATCTCTTCAAAATCACTTCCTTTTGCTGTAAGTGTTTGGTAGAAGCGATAACATTTTAGAGATACCAAATCTTCGAAAATCTTTCTTTGATGAGCTTGGCAGCTGTGTACTTTTTTCTGTCATAGATTTCCCTTAATTAAAACGGTAGAAATAAGAAATTCATAAATGACAATTCCCCTCCTTGAGCACGGACCTTTTATGGAATGTAGCCCCTCTATGCAAGCACGACCCTAGACAAATGGGCACACTTGGAATTGGCTGAGCCATTAACCCTTTCACTGTCGAATGTGGCCAAAGGCAAAATTCGACAAAAAATCGCAAATTTTATTGTGTAGAATTTTGAAAAACAAGTAGCACCATGTGGAAGTACTGGTAGAGAGGTTTCATTTGAATGGTCACATCATAGAATTTCACGGTCCGCAGACTCAAAAGTTGGAGCTACAGGTACAACACTCCATTATTTACTCTGGAGGTGAGAGGGTTAACAGATAGTAATATCCTAAACTAGACTGAAATTAATTCAACTGGGATGCCTCATTTTTTATCTTTATTAAAATGCGATCGTCGCCTTAATCTCTAAGATCGTCGTTTTATCGATGGCGATCGTCGCCACATCGATTTCGTCGGAAATACCCACAGAGAGTCTCCAAAGTCTTGCTTTCTTTGTTGACCTGTTACTGTGTAGTCTGAAACATTCCCAGTGGGGGAACCACTACCTTATTTGGCCATTTGGATTAGCCGATGAACCCGGCAATGTCTCGGGTTATCACTGATTTCGTTTTAAACACCCGCAATTGTTACAATTCCGATTATAGCTCAGTAAGGTTGTCTGACTGGAAGCTGTTTCTGGAATTTATTGGCCGGATATTCATTACTAAAAAAAAAAGAATTTCTTTGGAAGATCCGGGATAAACCCGCAGCCAAACAAAGATGGACGACATTGCGCATGAGCAGACCATTAGTTGTAGGCAGTCATTTGCAGGTCACGTGGTGGGGTCTCGACAAAATAAAAGAAATAAAAATTTGCGAAGAATGGTAATTTGACTTTGACTACGTTAAGCAACACACTAGGCAAGGTTAGGGGCCCACCATTTGACTTTTCATGAGGGGTATGGGTGATTTTAGAAAAGAATATGTCCAGTGCTTCAGACTGATTTCGAGGGAAAAAAATTCTTGCGAGGAAATCCTTGGCGAAAAAAAATCTCGCACTGAAAAAAAAAGCGTTTAAAGCCTATAATCCTGGAAAAGTCCGTCGTGCGTCAGGAAAAAAAATTCTATCACCAGAGATTTACCAGAAAAATTATTTCTCGAACCAAATCACCCGTACCCCTCGCCCCCTACTCAATCTGATCAAGTGGTTGGCGGTTATAGTTGACACCAGCTCCCGCTCTGTATCAGTCGTCGATCAACACAAGCAGAGACAAAATAGAGGATTTCCTTGTAAAGGCAAACAGTTTTCACCCAACGATCAAATTCACGGCTGAAATCTCAGAAACAGAAACCACATCCTTAGATACAAAAGTGTACAAAGGTGACAGATTCAATAATTAAGGAATCTATTCTTGACCTGTGAACGCATTTCAAAGCTACAGAAACCTCTCAATACACGAATTTCTATTCGTGTCACCCACCTGGCGTCACGAAAGGCTTTATTAAGGCTTCTGAGAACAAATTCCTCTCAATTTACTTTTGAGGAAAACATGAGTAATTTCAAAACACGCCTGCAGAATAGAGATTACCCAGCTAGAATTGTAGAAAAACACCTTTCAGAGATTAAATTCTCTGATAGAGAAATGTCGCTAGCGCAGAAAAACAAAGCCGCACCATCCGGCGTTGCTTAACCTAAAGGACACACTCATGGGGAAATGGCACCTTGTAGAAAATCAACTGCAACAGAGAGAAAT